TTTTCCTCAGAGGTAGAACAAGAGGTGATGGACAAAACTTGGAAGATGTGAAATTTTATTCAGTCGTTTATCTTCCCACCGTAAGTGTGATCAAACACTGGGAAATGGATCCTAAAAAGTTGAACAAGGCCCTGTGCAACCTGTTCTAACTTCATCTTTGAAGTTAAACTACATGACCTCTGGAAAACCAACCAACATAATTCCATGAGTTTAGACGTGGATAGTCAGTAGCATAGTGTTGATATTGCATAAAAATTATAAAAACTTTGTTAATTAACCAGATTCTGGCTTTGCAGACTGTGGAACGTAGATCACCAGAAGATGCACTGCATGACCATACATTTGATATTTTGGCACCACAAGTCTTGTGGCGATTCCTTCATAATCAGTGCTTTTATTCCAAGATTATTCTTCAGCCACCCCTTTGTTCTTTAAGTTATCAAAATAATGGACTATTATAATCCTACATCATACAGCCATTATATTAAAGGCTAAAGGACAGAATAACCATTTATTCCTATAGAATACAATGTTAATGTAGAAAATATAAAACTTAGGCCTTGAAACTCAGATTTGCCCTCTGCATGAAGATATACAGATAAATTTCACAGAGCTCCTCTTTTCTTAACTAGCAATCAATAAACATGGATAAAAGTAATCAGCTAGACAGCATTTCATCTCCTTATCAAAATAATTAGCAACACCAAATCAGTTATACTCACAAAAACACATTGAAAAGAACAAGCGTTACTGAAAACATAATATGAAAACATGTATCATTAATAATACATCACGTAGTCCAAAGTTCATGAGACTGAAAAAAGTTAATAGCCAAATAACTATCACTATTGTTTTTTTATATTCTTAAGTATAGCTTTTTGCTGTGAAATGAGGATCTTCACACATGATTCAGTAACATGCTCTCTCCTGAATTCAACACTTCACTCCTACTCACCCTAAACCTGAAACAATGACAATTTGTTTTGCTCCTGGAACTGTGATGTACACACAGTAGTCTCTTTTCTGCTTTTGGTCCATTAGGAAAGGCCACAAAATTATTCCCTCACAAGTCAGTTATAAACATTGAAGACCAACAGGCCATCAGACAGATCTTTAGGAAGTCAAAGGAAGGAAAATAACACTAAGTGACTGCAAGTACTTTGATTCTAATACGCCTTCTAGAAAACATTTGCACTCTAGCTCCTATCATTTGCTTATGGAAAAAACCAAAAAAATAGAAAAATTACAGCAAATTTAAAGTGAATAGTTAAATATATTGTAGTAAACGTTTTCTAATAAAGTAAACTTGGTAGGAAAAGCACGTTTTAAAGTAAGTTACTACTCCATCACATAAAAAGTCTTTATGATTACAGGATATATTAACCAGCTATTGGCATTAGAGAGATCAGTGAGCCACAGCTGTATGTTAAACAGTGGTATTTCCAAGTGATGTTCATATTCTCTAGAGACACAATGTGACATTCTAGGCATCTGTTTACCCTTCTTCCTATGGTGAAGATAATTATTGCACTGAGAGCGCCACTAGGAAAGATGATATTAAACTCATTAAAAAACTTAGCTGTTTAAAATTAAATTCTTAAATTCCTTGATAAAAACGCCATACCCTCATATCAACCACACTGGATGACTGGAAATAATAACATAAGCATCTAAGAGAACTTCATGAATTCTGTCAGCAATACAGAGCTTAGCTTGAAAGCCTCAGCCTTACCATCACAGCACCATTAAGGCACCAGGCAGATTCTAACACAGTATGAATGCAGACATCAACTCAAGTCTTCATTTTTCAGTATCATGCCTGTTCATTTTGTGCCAACAACCAGCGAGGTTTTTAAAAAGAGGAAAAATAATTTCTAATTATCCATGTTTCTCTAGCACATTGACAGCTAAGTTTGCAAGTTACAAACTGGAGGATGGTAGCTATCAGTGACCAAACCCTAAATAATTCTACAAACATTCACACAATTTCCTGCCACAAAACAAAATACCAAGTTAACTATAACACCACAAATAGAGAGAAGAGGAAAGAGATAAAATTGGAAGAAGGCGAAGAAGAAATAAGAATATGTAAAATGTTTTGCAAGCATTACTCACCAAAAACAGACTTCTGAAGTTGCTCAGATCGCCGAAGAATTCTTCTATGCTTATTGCTTTGGGATCAAATGTAAAGTATTCTCCCAAATTTTCATACAATTTAGTCATGTTATTGTGCATGTTGGACAATTTTTCATATTGCTCTCGGGCACTCTCAGCAAAGCTGTAAGGTTTTGTTAAGGAAAGTACTTCAAATGTAATCCAATGTAACAGTAAAAAATAAAGAGAACTCAGTACAAAGGTTAGAACTGGAAAAGTTTTGTTAGCGCCGTCCTGCTTTCAAATATGACATTTTTATATAATAATGCTTACATTTCTGTAAGTTCACACCAACATAAGGTAGTGGCACATTTTTCCATCAAATAATCCCTGTCCAATGGTGATTATTTGCCCTTAATAAACCATACAACTGACTTTATAAAATTTCCAAGTATCTTGGGCATTTCTCTTCCAGGAAATGATTATTTTGTAAAATACATTCTAAGAAAAAACATACTGAAAATTAGTTTGCTGTAAGAATCTGTGATGCCCCACTCTGGTCAAGTGATGTCATGGCCCCCCTATTATATACATATATTTTATATGTAGAATTTGCATTATGCGTAACTACCAATGACAAAATTATAGACTATGACATCTAATTTTCTTTGCCTTTTGTTTTAGATACATCTTCTTCGTGGATCCTTTAATGCCTAACCACATAGGTCAGCTCATGCCGCAGGCTTCATGTACGTTACCTGGGGTGCGGTCTCCTCGTAACTATGTAATAGCTCAAAAATTATAAAAATGGAATCTACACCCACCTGTCCCAGTTAACTGACAAACAGCTTTGAAAAGTTGTTAGCAAGAAAAACACCATGGAAAAACAGATGGGTTTGGTTTTTTTTTTTTAATTATGAAGTATAGAAGTCTAGAAATGAAAATGAAAATGAGATTTACTTCCATTCCAGCTGCCATTATTAAAAGTTTAGCATAAACCTTTTAAACAGAAAAATGTGGCTTTTTTTTCCCCCAATATGAAAAAAAAAAGTTTAAAATTCATTTGTAGACACACAGAAGCTGCAAGCTATGAAGGGAAATATTAGTTTTCCTCGAAGGAAGCAAGTTTCAGTCTTCTTTTCTATTCTGTTGCGGTTGTTTATATCCACAAAGATACAAAGTCACAAATCACTGAAAAAAAAAGCTAGTACATGATTAAACTGGTTCTGCTGATACTGAATTGCAGCTGATGAAAGTGGTGTGCAGTACATATCAAAACCCAAGAACAAAAGACAGAAGTTATTCCCTGAACTACAAAAATCATGCAGCCTGGCTCCCTGTGGCTTTTAGTTGTAACGATTCTTCCATGCGTATTCTGATTCTCAATAAACTAGAGCTCATGCTTCAACCTTTCCCATACTTGAATCTCTAATTTGAGACTCTGACTACTATCACATTTCTAATTACTCAGTATCTATATATTTGAGACCCCCATCCCTCTGCAAAATAACAAAAATCTGAAAACTAATTAGGGAAAAGAGACATACAGAAAAATTGCATAAACCATTTATTTTGAGATTAGACTAAACCCAAAAATGATTCTTCAGTAAATAGTCAATATATGGCAGAATAAAGAAAGGAAATTCGGGTGGATATTCTATTCATAACATTTCTGTAGTTTTTGGATACTGCTGAGTAACTAAATGCTGTCATTCCACAAAATACATGCAGGAATACCACGGCTGAAAATATCTTCACTTGGAAAGAGTCCTAATACTCCACTTGGATTTTCCTACTCTAACTAATGGGAGGGTATGTAAATAGTCATTTAAAAACTGGTTTTTAAGAGTATGATCAAAGGTTTTATTTAATGTGAATTTTCCTCCTAAAAAATTATTTCCAAGGAATCCTGTCTTCTTCATTACAGCCTCAGTAGCGCAAGAGGAAAGCTGTATTCTTCTGTTAGGTTATAACGTCCATATAGAATTACAAAAAGAAACCAACAATATGATGGATCTTAATATATAAATATCAAGATTTTGAAATGGTAATACCTACCTATATAGTTTCACACCAGTGCAAACACAGTAAGACTACCTATATGTCCAAGTTTATTGAAATGAAGTTTAACCTGCTTGGTTAGAATTTCAAGCTTGAACTGTTGAATCACTCATCTTAATACAAGACAAACTTGGTAGAGTTCAGTCTTCAGTGACATTTAACTATGCAAAAGGAAATGAAAGTTTAATGGCAAGAATACGTTAAATAGGTAATAATGGCACGCTACTGAATTATTGAGCACAGTCTAAAAATTTTAGAAAAACATGAATTGCTTTAGAGTTTGTAGACTATTCTGTTTTTTAAAGGAACCACAGATAAAATGAGTATAATTATATACCTTCATTTTTGTTTGGTTTTTTTTTTTTCCTAGCATTTTTGGTGAATTGTTCAACAATCTCATATAATATAATACAAAACCAAAATAATACACTGGAAATCACTGAAAAGTCTGAAAGAAAAAAAGAAAAAGCTTTCAAACATTCCAGATTTGAAATTAATTATTTCAGACAAAGCTCTCAAAGTCAAATTCTCTTAGGTTGCACATTCCACATAAGAAATAACAAGAGTGAGCTCTATAATGAAAAAAACAATACTGCTACTGAAACAAGAACATATTTTAAAGTAACACTGTTGGAACATATACTATAGTTTCAACATTATTATTTATCTAGTGAGTACCAAACTGCAAATAAGAAACACCATTAACAGATGGCTTGTAAGACAAATGTCAGTAAGATGGATGAATATGATGAGCAGAGAGAAAATAAAGTATTTTAACTATACTTAATTTTGAAGAAAACAAGTCAGTGCTGTAGAGACAATAGTTTTCAGTCATATACCATGTCATATTAACAAAGTTCCTCTTTGTCACACTCTATGTGCTTCATACCATCTTCATACTTATAAAATATTAGTAACTTCAAACATCACCTTGAGATGTACTTCTTCAAGTCATTGCAGAGACAGTCAATACAATAATTCCAGAGAAGCATTCCTACCTGTCTACATTATTTCACAAAAAAATATTACTGAAAAATCTAAGATACCAAAACTTTGCCAAATAGAAATACTTACTTCCAAGCTTTCATTAATACAGACCAAAGCTTTGAGTGCTTATTTAAAAACTGTAAGCAAGGTTTCATTTTATCTATTTAAACCAAAACTAAAATCACAGAATTATCAAGTGTAAACATGCTTGTTCAGCTAAGAGAAATTATTTTATACACAAGCTTGTTTTTCCACAAAGACATTATTTAGTTTCATTTATAATCATATGAAAATTCTAAGGAAACATTTTATTGTAAATAGTGTTATTTGGGGGAAAAAACCAAACACACAAAACAAACAAAAAGCATCCCACACTTGGAAACGTTTTTCCATCTTCAGTACCATACCTATCTCCCCAAGTTCCATATAAACCAAGAAAAATGGGTTTGTAAAGCTGAAGATACAGAGAGTTATTACTTTACTAAGACTAAGAAATACACTATTGCAACAATAACAGACCCATATCTAAACACCATTTAGGCAACTCTGTATACATAATTGTTACTGAAATTTTGAAATACTTATTTTGGTGGCTCTAAGGTAAAGGAACGTTTATGCCCTTTAATCCATTTCTTTTTTTTATTTTAATACTGCAAATGGCAACTACACAAAACTACTCTGAGATTTTTTAAGTGTCAATTTTGAATTTTTGAAGAAGTGGTATTTCAGTTTAACATTTACAGGTGTCTTCTCAATGTGCTAACCTATTGCATTGGTTTCAACACCTTACCCTAAGGTCGATAAATAAATAAGTCACTGTTCAATAACAAGTACAAAAAAGTCAATAATATATTTATCTCAATGCAACCCAATAAAAGCCTCTGTAGGCCATGCCTCTAACAAAACGCTAACGAAAGTCACAATGCAAACAAATAACAAAAGGAAACTTCACGTCTTTTAAACTGCAAAGATACAGGTAAATGTAGAACATTAACTTCCATTATTACTTTATTAACCTTTATTGCCAAATTTCAGTTATCTGTTAATTCTACTTTTTCCTGTCTCTTCTTCCTCTTAAAAGAGAGGTTGGAATACTAAAAGAAAGGCTGGGAAGCTTCCACACCTCTTTTCTTTCTTTCTTTTTTTCTTTTCTTTAAAAGGATTCTGTTTACCGGTTTTCACTAAATTTGCTGTCAAATTAAAGCTTCCATTCAGTTTAGTGGTTTGCTTGACAATGACCACAAGTAAGGGGAGAATAGAAATGTTTGGATACCCAGACGGGTAATATTCTCACTGCAGAAATCCTTAAGTACAGTGTCAGTATCAGAATATAGGTGAGTATAAGTATGGCTGTATAAAGCCAGCTGTACTTACAGAAAAGATATTTTCAGTCATTAAGTCAATGATTTTTTATACTTTGAAATATGACCAGATCACTACAGTTTGCTGGCATTTCAGTGCAATGCTTAAATTAATTCACTTAATTAAGCAAGCAATGGATACAAATGTTACCATGACACTATGCTACTACATTATGTCAGAGATGAAGAATCACTAATTACCACCAATAGCACAATTAAATGCCTTATGTCCATATTAGCACCACTACTGTGGTACTTCTATGCTTTCTTTTTACTGGTTTCTTCCATGTAGACAGACGAGGAAAAAAGTTCAGAGAAATCAAGGTTAAAGACCCCAAACCTGCTAGAGGGAAAGTCATCACTTCTACCATAACATCTGCTATGAATTGCACATCAACATATCAACAACTTATATAATAGTTAATAAAGTACCTGAACACACAAAAAACTCACTTGCCCAGAGGCAGGACCTACTACTGTCAGCATTTACAAAGGAAAAGCTAGCACTGACAACTTGGCATTCACCAACAATAAATATGCCACAGTAGAAAGAACATTGTTAATTTAACTATAATTATGAAAAATGCACTGGTGTTCCAGCAGTTAAGGAGGCTCCTCTCCAGGGCATATAATCACTATAAAAATGGAATTTAAGGGATGTTGAGTACAGGTCTGAAACAGTAAAACAAACAGCCCACAGAGTCTTTGATACCTCCCGAAGAAGAAAGAACGCACTGCAAACAAAAAGGAGATACCTGCCACAAACTCCTTAACACT